GACTTCAAACGGCATTCTAGACCTTATTTCCAAGTAGGAGGTAGAAAACATCTGAATTTCGAGTTGTCTGGAATGCAGCATAAGACCTTGATCAGCTAATTCAGGTGTGATTGATTGCGGTTGGAGCTGAACTCTGCAGAACAGTGGCCCTCCAGGAGCAGGATTGGACACCCCTGCTTTACAACCTCATTATCTCATTGTGAACACAGCACTGTACTGGATTATGGAAAAAAACAAAATGTACGGCTGGGACTTGCTTCTATCTGTCATTTGTTGATTGGATTTTAAAATGTGGATGTGTTGCATATGTGGATGGGCTGGGTTTAAGTGGACTAAATTATTATATTTTAATTTATTATATTTTTTGATCAAACATTTCACAGTCAAACATTTTTAAATTATCTGGTCAAGTTTAATGCTACCACTCAAGATTGATTAATTCATTTGAAAAACCCTCACTGTTTTTAAGCCAAATAAATATCGGCCTGATTAATTTCATTATATGAAATTTATATATTTTAAGTAGAATACATAATTACTTAGAATTATTATTAAATACACTATACTGCTTGTTTAAATAGCTTCAATATAGTGGTTAACAGCTTGTAAATGTAGCCAACCACTTGCCTGTTGCTTAACTACTTTCAATCACGTGAAGCAAAGTCGCTTCCTCAATGCTAAATATCTGTTGCTAAATGTTTCCTCATAAGGCACAAATAACAACAAGCTTGAGGTGAACGCTTGCACAGGTGGTGCATTTAATTAAACTATATTATGGCAGATGTAAAAAACAAAGTGATGGCTATAAAGATATGAGAAGATGGGGGCAGTCAGCAGTGGCTAATGTCAGCAGGGCGTGGAATGGGGCATTGTGGGCACATTCCTTCATTGATGAGAGCGAGTGTGACGCGGCCAGATGTGGCTGACCAGCAGAGCATAGCAGCGTTGAGGTGACACCCCGTTGAGTCACCCAATCAGATGTGGGGACAGCGATGACACATCCTATAAGAAACGTGGGGAGAATAGGGTTCACTGAACACAATGAGCTATAGAGCACAGGGCGACGATACACTACCTTCAGGCAATGTAGTTTTTTGAGAGGATTAAACCTCTCTCGGAGTAATTGGAATATATGTGCTTTCATAACCTTCACCCTCTGCTACAAACATCATGATAACTCATGGATTGTTTTGTGTCTTGCAGCTGTTCTGTTGTCTCTAATGGCATGCTTGTGTACCTTTAAAAGTTACTGTTCTCTCATATACTACCATTTATCTTGTCATAGATGAATGTGAGCTGTAGCTGAAACATGCGGTCAGTGCCCTCTCATTAGGATAATGTTAACATCTCTATAATTTCTGGCATATTCAGACAATGGATGCTAGTTCTTGAAAATAATTTATGAAATCTCTAAGAGGTAAGATAACAATGACAAAGACATGCAGAAAACATTGTTTCATCTTCAGCATACTGCCATGATCAAACGACTATGATAACAGAATTCATTAACCCAATAAATGTATAATTTTTGATATGCAAATTTCTGAGGCCTCTAAATCATCAACGTGATCAAACTTTGCTGCAAAACCTGTTGTACACAATCTACTGCACAGTGTCTGAGTGATAGTTTATACTTTTTTAGCAAGTAAAAGGTATTTTAGTATATGTATGTTTTATGTTTAGAATGCATTTCAAGATGAACACTTACTAGACTGAAGCAACTTAGGTTTACTTGATTATACATCAAAAATATTCTTAAAATATGAGTTTCAAAAATTATACATCAGGCTTTTGAGGAACATTTGTTTCTACATCTCTCAATCATCATTGAATTGAGTAACCTGTTCCATTTCAAAATGATAGATTTTTCTGACTATCTTTCAGATGTCAGGCCTTACAGGGTTGTATATGTATGCAAAGGATAAGCTAGGCAATCACTTTGAACCATTTAGATGGCATGAAGTGTTGATAAAGGTTAGGCATGTTATTTTTCCATTATTACTTCACTGTTTGCTAATTAAATCCTTATGTGATTTGTGGATGCAATTTGTTTTCATGGGTTGACAAAAAGGTCCAAAACTAATGCGATCAGAACTCGATTTAGCCTACACACTTTCTGAATTAAAAGTGCAATCTCACCGCCACAATGCTTTGGCTTTGTTAAAGTGTTCAAAATGTTGCTATGCAGTATCTAGGCTATTTTGGGTTGTTGCTATGGTGCTGCTTGGTGGTTACTAAGGAGTTGAGGGTAGTTGCTTACTGGCTCAAATGCATGGAGTCCATCTCCACGTCTCTAAGATATTCTGGTTCCTAAATATGGCCTCCCTTCAATGTATGTTTAAGCAGTTGTTTTGACAGTATTTATCTCTTCATCTGTAGGCTGAAGAGATAAATAATAGCAACAGCTTTTTAGAGCATGATTTATGTCTGTAGTTTCACACGAATATTAATAAACACTAACTAACTATATACTGATAACTATTATGGCCAAGGAACTTAAAAGGAAAAAAAAAATTCCAATGTGACATGCCAACTATTCTGTCTTCGTACAATTCAACAGCTCTGTTTTCAGCTTGAAAACATTATATTTAGAACTGTTTTGTGACCTCCTGGCTAGGCAAATGATTGAATGTTGCCACTGGCTTTTGCCTCACAACATCTGTTTGTCTGAATTCCTGGAAACCGATTGTACACATACTAAAGTATTCAATTTAATTTAAAAGACATTTAAATGCTAATAAGATACTCACAACAATCTTGTATTGCCTCAACAGCTCTGAAGTAGCCCCCTGGCAAACCCAAATATTATGATTTTTTTTCTCTCAGTTGCTAGATGTACAACACACTGTTTTTCATGATCATTCTACAACAGTAAGCCAGTCATTTTTACTGTGTGATGACTCACAACACTGTAGATCTAAAATGTAATATTTCTCCTTGATTAATGCCTTTAAGATGCAATCTCTATAAATAACAGATGAAAACAGTTGAATGTCTTAAACTGTAAGAACAATGAAAGGAACCTGATGGTGGGAAGGAATGTGAAGTGGGTGGTGACTTCAGCTGAGCTTAATTAATATTTAAAGACTTCCTTTATTACATCTTTAATAGCCTTTTTTGTTGGTATCCCTCAACTTTTGGCTCCCAGCACAGTTTAATTCACCTCTCATTGAGTTGACTGGCTCAGAGCTCTCAACTTCAGACTTTCATCTCCTTTCTTTCTGCCTGAGCTTTTATTGTTCTTCAGCTTTTCCTTGGAGAATTAATGCCATCATATTGGACCACAAAAACTCCAATACGAGTGCATAAAAGTATGAGGTCAGAGAGATTTACTGTTTGGAATTTAATATCATAGCAAACTGAAAAACTACTGCAGATGAACTTTCATTGAAGATATTAGATTGGCAAAAAGGTATTAAATCATTGCCTCATGACATGGAATAGAAATTAGGTAACTGCTTCTTTACAATATCAATCAGGTTGATGGCCCTTTTTGCCAAAATGCCCCAGGATGAAGATAACTCTCCTAGATTTCACTTCCAAACTAAGGATAATTCTCTACATATGCCATAACATTAAGAGGATTAGGTTCAGAAAATGGATCATGATGCTTGTAGTGACAAGCAACAATGTATTCTGTCATTATCTGGACACATCACTTTGATATGTCCACATCTGCTCTATAATTTGAACAGGCTTTTCTTTTAAAGGCTATATGGCATATTATACTGATTTATATGTCCTGAAAAGGAGTTTTTAAAGGTGCGCTCAATACTTTTTTTTTCTCATTAAAATGTTTTACTAAAAGAAATGAACAGCACTTTGGAAAAATCTGTTTAAATCATGTACACTCATATAATCAGTAGCCTAATAAGAGCTGTTATATTTTTCCACATTTGTCTCATTGAGACACTCTTGTTAAGAACATATGACCAGACGAATATTACTTGCTTTATTTCAACAAGCTTCCTGTTATTGAGATTTTTTGCTCCTTGAATAAATGAATCATGTCTGACCATGAATAGGGCATAGTGTGATGCTGCATCCACACCACTAGGTGTCAGTATACCAAGACAGCTTCCATAAAAAAAATGACAATGCAGTGCATTTTTTTTCATTCTTGTTCTCCAGTATAGTGGCAATCCAGAAAGCCTAACAATAATACAGTCCAAATAAAAATATACTGCACACACTGCAACGTCTTCTGACCCATAATGACTGTCAGACAAAAAAATCAGTCCACCCCATAGATACAAAGACTAAAGTTCAGACTATGTCAGATAAAACTTAATGAACTATACTTGCTAAGGCTACACCACAGCTCTGCCTGCTCCTGTTGGGGTTAATGAGTTTTCGAAGCCTAATTAATTCATGGTGAATTTCTAAATTGAAGTCTGTGAGTTCTGTGAGAGACTCTGTTTATGAAGTGTTCCTTCGACATGCCTCAAAGAGCAGCTAATATCCTACCTCCCCTCCTATTTCTCTCATCTGAGGAAAAAAAGGCTAATTTTCCTCTGCCTTCAAGGATTTAAATAATAATTGTACTACACAAGAACCGTAACCCTCCTATTCTGTTGACGATGAGAAATAAAATAAAACACACAGGCCAGATGAGAAATATGCCTCATATCCCCTTGGCTCTAATTCGACAAGAACTGGGTCAAGCTCACGAGAAATTTTATTTGAACATATGTCAATTAATACCCATTATGTCTTTATTTTGAAAAGCAGAATCCTTCTCACAATCTCCTAAAGCCTGGCACTACACTAGAGATTTAGTTAGATCCTCTGTGATTTGTGTCTCGTCTCTTGGAAATCAGTTTTTACCTTGTAAGGAAGTCAATAAGATTTTTTTTAAAGCTCTGGAGCATGCAGAAATTGAGACAATGAATGACACAGGAATAAAGCCTGACTTGGTGCATATACACTGCTATGCACAAATAGCAGTGTGTATACAACAGCTATGAAATAACTTATACTTAATAAGAATTTGCTTATTATTAAGTATAAGCCCTGCTAGAACCGCCCCCCCCCCTGAGTGTAAACTGCTCCACAGTAGCATTTGGGACCAGAAGCAGGTAGATGTTGAGGGTCTCTCCTGGCTTTAATGGCCTCTCTGGTAGCCTCAGAAAGAGGTTCTTGTCAAGCTGTTTGTCAACCACTAGTTGTTCCTGACTGGGCTGGTACAAACTGATGCTCCCAATACGGAGAAGGGGTTGTTGGGATGAGCTCTCCCCTCTGGATGCCCCTCCTTGGCGTGGGTAGCTCTCCCCACATTCATCATTGCTGTCTGGATCATGGAGAGTATAGTAAAGCTCTACTTGAAGGGTCTCCCCACTTAACTCAAGTCCATCTGTCCCCGAGAACTTTCTGCGACCCAGTGGTGCTACATTAACATTAAACCATGTGGAAGGGAGATCCAGTTGGGCCAAGCACTGCGCCAGATTCCCTTGAAGCCTGCAGGAAGTTTTGATCTCCCGAACATCTCTAAAAGCATGCAGCCTCACACATGGAAGCTTGTCCTGAATCTTGAAGTCATCCCAGTCCCGTCCTGCGATATAGAACAGCACCTGAACCAATGGGTTACTAGCAAAAACTCTAGACTGTACAATAAAGGCCCGGACCTTCCAGTTGACTGTCACCCGTCCAGGAATGTCCAAAGGACTTGACGGTTGCAGTAGGTCCTTGGACAATGTCTGGTCTTGGGTGAAAGGTCCAAGTGAGATGTTGATTGCAGGCAGTTCTTTGGTCTGAAAGACCACAAAACTTTCTGAACGCTGAAGAGGGTGTCCACGTTGGCTGCCATATGGTGGAACTCGGGCCTCTTGGAGAAAGAAGGCCAACTGTGTGTTGGAGAGCTTAAAGTTGGCAGGGAGGTAAACTTCTGGTGGGCTGGAGATGGTACTAGTAACCGGGACACTGAAGAGGGCATCTGAACTGGTAGGGGAAACTTTACCAGCAACTGCAAAGACAAAGAAACAAGAAAAAAATATGGTTAAATATGCACTACCAATACACGGTTGTAGCCAAGGACTGGAACAGATAGCACATAGGTTTAAACTCTGTAGAGCAGATCCAGGAATTCAGGAACTCTAGAGTTCATGGAACCCTGCTCCTCCTCAACACTAAACCCTTAAGTGAGCACCTAAGTGGGAACCTCACACACCTTTACAGGGAAAGACCCTTGAGTTACAGCGCTGCAAAGTGGCTCTTGATGGATAACAACTACAAAATTACAGGCAACAATGTGCTGGCTTTATTACAGCTTATTTTTGCATAAAAAAGAACTCAACATCTTTTCTGTATCTGCTGGTGGCAGGGAAATATTCTCCAATTTGCAAGAAAGTGAATGCTTGTTCTCCCTTTCATGCCTCAGGAGATCAGTTGGCTCCGACAATAGACACTGATTAATGGCATGCAAAATTGAGAGGTTTTCAACCGAACTGTTTCAGATTAGATGAATTTGTATAAATTCAAATAATGAGCAATAAATTCATATAGTGAATACACTGGCTTCAATGAGAGGACAAAGCTGGTCATCTTAACAGAAATTCTCACTACTTAGAGTGAGGTGAGATATCGACTAGCATGCAATGGTTTGTCTGATAACATATTGTACACAGAAGACATCATTGATCTCTTGGGCTCTTAAGATTAACTACCTAGACTAGATGCCCAATCGATTGTTGAGAAACTTCCACACGCCGATCATAATCTCCCTGTACTGGAGAGAAATGGAGACACTTGGAGAGTAACTGTAATATTTAAAGCAAATTTGACTAAAATTAAAATAGTTGTATAAATCTTTCAAAGCTATAAAAACCCACTTATATGGTAGATTTACAGTATGAAAAGGGACTGCCTTTTGTTTTTTTGAGGGCACAATCTATTCATAGGCACTCTATTCAACTATAGAATTTGCCCTCAAAAATTTGTGGAACAATAAAACATACTTATCATAATGACAAGTCGAAGTGAACAGAGAATCCATGGCAAATCCTGAACAACAAAATGTCCCATATTCCACAAATTCTTTGCATTTAAAAGGGGAACTTCACAACTTGAATCACTTCACAGGTAGACAAAAAGAATATCCGTGCAGCTGAAGCCAAACTGTTGAAAAATTTGATAGCTGCAGATCAGGTTCAGTTCAAGCTTTGAAAACCTGCTCAAAGTCTCCAAACTTGAAAGCACATGAGTAGTATCCCCTCAGTAGTAATCCAACTGTATCCAGAACCTGCCCAAAGATCTGAGAGAGACGGATCACTTGTGGCTGTTGGAAGGCTCCGAAAGCACCTCCTGCCCTGCAGCATGATCGGAGTGATTCCACACTAACATTCGCTCACTCTATCTATTCTCTGCAGTTCCTGTATGAGTGTGACTCCTCCCAGCAGATCCCGTTCTCCTCTTACAGCCTGAGACAAAGACTAGTCACCGCCCTGTCTCACCACACCTCACCTAACCCCAAACTGTAATAAACTCTTTAGCTCTCATTCACAGCCAGTGCAAAAGCACTCCTCCCAGGACACCACCATGGCAGACTACAAACTACCCTATTACATTCATCTTCTCCCACTGGACGTGTTGAGGCAGACTCTGAATGTGTCTGCGTGAGGGAGAGTGTATTTGTTAGGGGGCTGGGTCTGGGGGAAGGATGCATAGCTTGAGCGCCTTCAGGCAAAGAGCGGGGGATTAGTAGGAAGATCACTGACGAATTAGCTCTCCTCCTTTCCTCATCCAACGGCCTCTGGAAGATAAATCTGAATGGAGATGGGGGTTGAATGTGGTGGGTCGTCTACCCTTCCAATTGCCCAAAGAGTCATCAAGAGCTCAGAGAAGGAAATATACTATCAAATGTGGGACGATGCTCTGTGCCAAGATACACTACTTCTACAACAAATGAAAAGTCCACACAAAGAGCAGCAAAATATCATTCACAAAATTTCTGACCAGTACATTCCTCAGCAATAATGTGACATATTGAGTGCCGCTTTCTGTGAAGCAAATTACATCTTTGAGACTCTTCTTTCAAGACAGGTTCCCTCCACTCCATTACATTTCTGACGTTTATCATCGAGCTCATTCAACAGAAAAATTCAGATTATAAAAGCCCATAGATTGGGTTTCACTCACGCTCAGAGGTTTGAACACCTTTTGGTGTGGCTGTGGCCTGTGGAAACAGATATGAATACCTCTTAAAGGGATGAGCTAATGCCTCTGAAAGCCAATCTATTACAAACACATTAAGCACCAAAGAGCTCCTCTCAACTACTTTTCCAGATACAGGCAGTCTAATGTATATATTTCAATAGCATCATCGGATTATGTGCTTGCAGTGCCTCCAGGGATAAACACTAGAGAGGTCACAGATTCAAATACATCATGCCCATCACTGCATAGGCTCTGCACTGTGTCAAAAAGAAGGCACATATGGGACTACAACATGACACCAAAAGTCCACCCCGATCCCTCCTCCCAGCCCCACTAATAGACCTCTTGGTGTAGTGGAGTGGCGGCTGCCGTTGCTGAACTCAGTAACCGGATACACATCTGTTGGTCAATGACTGTGGCTCGAAACAATCCTGGGGGCTTTCTGCAGCTTTTTAGCCTCAGCCTTATGAGGGATAATGGAATCGTCATGTGTAATACGACTTTGAAATGTTGAAGTTTCACTGTTTAATTTAACTCGCCGTTACTGTCATTTTTCTCTGTAATCCCACACTTTTTTTTTTTTTGCCACATGGGCAATGTAAGATGCTGGATGGAAAATAAGAAATTCCCCACAAGCATTCACATTTCCTTTGAAATAATCTGTCTAGTGGGGCAATTGCTCTAGGAAATAATCCATGAGGCTTTTTCTTAGAAAAAAAAATGTGACAGCAATAAGCATTATAAAAGAAGTCCCCCACCCACATACACCATGCACACAGACACACACATTATGAAAGTGTGCGCATCTTATAATTGCAATCTTGATGCTGTCATTTGTTTTGGAGTCCGTTAAAGTTTGAAAATGCTTAAATGGCATTGTGTATTATTTCCCGGTTTGAATTACTGAACAAATTGAACAGGGTAGTGTGTTAATTAACGAGCTGTACCTCAGAAACATCTCTATAAAGAGACACACGAAGTGCTAGTGGAATTGTTCCATTTGAATTATTGCATTCAGGTGTACCCAAAGGAAATGCGCAGAGAGGAAACTGAATGAAGAAGAGGCAGAGAGAATACAAGATGTGACATGTGATCAAAGATTGGGATGATGCAATTTGAAAGGTAAATCACCATACGACAGACGACAGGCGAATGCAACATTCAATTTGCAAAAACAGAAATTTGCATAATTACGTGATTGAGAAAGTCACACCTGTTAAACTGAAGTAAGATTTCATTTCATAAATAGAAGTAACATAAGTAGAGGTAAAATAGATAATCTAGAGCTGCATGATTTTGTTAAAAAAACAACTGTTGATTATTTACTTTGATACTGTAATCAATTAATATTCATGAATAAAATTTACAATGATATACTTCTTTTGTTTGGGGCAACTGTGTACCGACTGAGTACCATATTCTAAAAAAGCTGAGAACTGTGTTCTCGGATAAATATATTTCATGCATCAGTAAAAACCAAGACATTGAATAACTTCACGTTCTTAGCAGTATAACAAACAAAACTGTTCATCATATTTTGTATAAACTGTTTACAGAATGCTATGCAGCATCATGTTATAATCACTGAAGCTGCCACTGCAAAATGAAGTGAAATATAAAACGTATTTGTGTATCTATATCTGTGAATCAGATTGCTGAAATCTCATTAGGTGTTTATTGTTATTGACAGGTCTAAAGAGTAACTTAAACGCCTCTTATTTGCATTCACGCACACAACAGACACCTCTGCAGTTACAAAACTCAACCGAAGCAAAAAAACATATTGTAAATTGAATATTTTAATGGAACCCCATTTAAGGTAGACCTAAATGGAATACTTTAATCAGCAGGTTTCACGTTTAGTTAATCATAGCAGCTGTAATCATAATCTTCATTGTTGATTCAATTAATAGTGCAGCCCTTTACAGTTTTACTAAGGGTTTTAATGTTAGCTATTTTTCATATCACCTTACTGTACCTCATGAATTCATCAGCATTTCGTTAGGCCAAATAAAGAGTCCATTAATTCACCAAAAATACATTCAACAGGAATTTATAACCCCAGGAACTCTGAAGCGTACACCAAACCTTTTGATCCATGGCTATGCTAACGAGTCTGTCAATCGAAGTGATTCAGAGGCTAGTGAATGAACTCTGGCTTGAGTTAGCATGACAAGCAACAGTTGCAAATGAAGTGATTTACATAAGAAACAGGCGCTCCAACCGTTAGCATCACGTCAAGCCTTGCCGTATCACAAATAGTGACTACCATTGCATTCTCTTCATTACAGCACCATGGTTTCTGTTTTCACTGAAGAGAAGGTGCTGAAAGGAAATGTTTAGAGGGAAATGGGCTTTATATTCTGACACTAAATCGTTGACCATATTTTGCCATTATTTCAGCATTCAATACCATGAGGCCTAATATATTTGTTCCTCTTTGCGCCACTTGTCCTTGTCTGTCCTACAAGTGCCTTTTGTGATGAGTGGATGAAAATTGACTTAATAACAGAAAATGTGAGATACTGAGCAGGGAGCTGATTGCTAATGCGATGCCACTGCTTTGCTGCAAAGTCATTTATGGCAGAATTAAATGAAAGGGAATGAGGAGATTTGTCATTAAGTATTTGACAGGATATAAATCAGAATCCAGTGAATTTGGATGGTGAGGCATATTGCCACACATTCAGATCATGAAATATTTAAGTGGCTAATTATAGCAACTAGGCAAAATTATGATTCTATATGCAGTAGAGAAAAAAATATTCTTGTTACCAGAAGCTGTAAAAATGTTAGAATGACAATTTCAGCATTTTAACCTGTACGACATGGCTCAACATGGCTCAGAAGTGGATAAAAAGAAAGATATTAATGTTATCTATTAACTAACTATATTATTCTATAATCGTATAAACTGATTCAGTAATTAACATATAAAATACTATTATTAAGCATTACAGTGTGATTTGACTGACTTGGAACTCATGGATCAGAGTATATGAAATAAGATGCCTGACATAAACAAGTATATTCATACCTGCCCACAAATACACACACAGACACACACCCACAAGTATTTTTGCTAATTGCATTGATTGTACTTTAGAAGACTGTTTAATGAGTTGGGGGAAAAAATCACAATAGGGAGAGACCCATTCCACTGGGAATTTTAATGAGTGTATTGACTAAGAAGGTGTCTGGGTATATTAATAAATGAGTACAAGTGGAGCACATTGCTTTCACCTTCATACACAATACAGTCTGTAGCATCTTAAATATTTGGGAGGCGTTTGAAAATATTTTAAAGGAGTTTTCAGTGGTCTTTATGAAGATTTGATTATTGTTTCAAAGAGGTGGATTTCTCATTTTAAGTCTCTGTAGAATAGGATATAAATTACTTAATAAAGTGTACGCAACTGGCCTGCACAGTATCATTGCCCACAGAATCACAGAAAAAGTTATGCATAATTTAAACACCAGTCATTCACAAAGTTGTACAAATCCACCCATCATTTAACAGATATTTTGGCTAGATTTGATTATGCATTCTGCTACTAGTAAGAGTGCAGTATTCTTAGCTCAGTTTAACACATTTTCCCATATGTAAATCCATATGTAAACATTTGGTTTGGTTACCTGTTTATCATATATTATGTATATTTTAAGGTACATAGTAGATTTTAGTGGTATAGGTAGGTTGGCATATTAACATCAGTTAATATGTGTAAGGTAAATTGTATAATTTAGTCCTGTAGTTTCTTTCAATTTCTTATGTTTTTCACAATATTAGTAAACATCCTGCCTTTACTATGTCATTTTTAAACTGTCCTGTTGTGTAACGATTGCATTTGAAGTATTCCATGTAAATTAAATTAACTCATAAAATCTGTATGCATAATATTTATAAAATAATTAGCAAAATTCAGCAACATTCAAAATATTCATTTAATGCCAACTTGAAAGCTTTAGATGGAATATAGCATGTTACCCGGCAGGGACATGCCAATGACCCATTTATGTATACTTTACATGAACTGTAAAATGCCTGAAGCATTGTCATCATATTTTTTTTTCATTAGACATGACTGGTACATCATATCGAAAAAGCATGATGGAGAGCTTATATTCATGAAAACGTCATTAAAATTCAGTCAACATAGAACAGAGCCAAAAATGTTTAAAGGGGTCATATGATGCTATTT